ATGTCTGCCGGCCAGAGGTTTGGTCAACACGGGGTCGGAGTACGCGCTGACCACCGGATGGGGTAATAAAGGTGGGGGCCGTCTGTCGCCCAGAATTCGCCAAATGGGTTGGGTTCGCATTGTGGCCACCGATCCAAACCTATGGCCCACTAATCAAACGCAAGTTATATACGGCCACATCACGCCACTCACCGTCGGTACGGCCATCTGTGACGTGAGTACATGTTTTTGATGGTTAATCTACGCGGGGGAGAGTGGGGTGGAAAGGGGGGGGGGTAATTAGGAGACGATTTAACGGGACAAACATTTCATTATAAATAATTATATAAAGGTAAATTACAAACAGGTCCAAATAGAAGATTGTTTTCTAAAAAGTGGACAGTTGGTCACCGTATATATAAAGCTGAGATTCTTTATAATAGATATTGTGATTTTTAGGGCGATTCTGGCGGTCCGTTAGTGCAGTACGTGTCGGGTCGAGCGGTACTGATCGGTGTGGCCATGGGATGGTATAATTTTAACAAGTCACTTTATTTTAGCGATTGTGCCGCTAATTATCCACATTCTGTGATGGGTTGGACCCGAGTCTCCAGATATATCGATTGGATTATTGGTGTCATTAATAATGACACATATTCTGGACGTTAGGAATTTGAATCCATGGCTCACTTCATATATTAGAATTGATTCGTATTTTTTTAAAACAAATATCTTTAAATATGAATAGATATTTCATACGATAATTATTTTGTTAGTTTAGTTGCATATATTAAATGGGATTTATAAGCACTAGTTTATAAAAAGTTTATAATATTGATATTTTTAGCCACTTTTCTTTATGTCGTTGAATATATTTCGAAATCAATACAATTATGTTTAAAATATTAAGAAGTTTTATTGAAAATATTCGGATTTAATTCAAATACTATTTAATAAATAAATTTGTTAAGAAATTCAATTTATAGAAAATAAAACAAAATTTCAAAATATTTATAAATTAAAACGAAAAGCTTATATTTAATAATTATATAAATTAAAGTAGTATTAAATATGACACAAATAGGCGACAATTTTTTTGGTACAATCAATACAGAGACTAAGTGTTAGAGACCGAGTCGTTGAGCGTATTCATGGGCCACATCGCCGGCGAGTGGTGCGCGACATACGGGACACGACATGCGCTGCGCGAACCACTGTTTGACGCACTTCTTGTGGTAGATGTGACCGCACGGAAGGATCTCGAGGGGAGCCGTCAGATCGTCGCGACAAATGGCACACTCCGTGCACGGCTCGGGCGGACACCGGCGGCCACCTGTGCCCAACTGTGTGTAGCTTTGGGCCGATTTTTGACGGCTAGTCATATACACGCCAACCGCGACGCCGGCGCCAAATATTAGGGCCGCGATTAATACAACAGCTTTCACTACAGGTGGAGTCATATATTGTTTTTTACACTAACATTTAAGCATGATTAATTTGATTAAATTGTCATTTATTAAACAAGCATCATCACTGTAATTATAAAAATAAGACTTACCAATTATTATATGATTAATGCGTGATAAATAACGTTTAAACATATTGAAGCACTTGAACAATAACACTTTTTATTAAAGTATCTTAACATTTTCTTATAGTTGCCTAGGTATAATCAACACATCTGTTGGAATTTGTATGAATCAATTTAATGCAGTAAATAAATGCAGATAGTTAAAAATATTATCAATATTTATTATGGTCAAAGGAGGCTTGATTATGTAAAGGGGAAATAATGGGGAAATGTACAAAATTCAATATTTTAATTTGGTATTTAGTATTTATTATTTTCCTGAATCAATTACCATTCTAATTATAATTAATATGAATGATGTAGACTAAACAAGGTATTAATATGATTAAATCAGTCAATGTTTATTTCATTTAAATAAATCGACGACATTTTAGCATGTAATTTATATAATTTATTATCTCATGTGCATTTAAAGATATGTAAATACATGTACTACATTATAAAACGTATAAATAGATTAAACAAATGTTGTTTACAAAAAATGTAACTTATTATCACTATGAGTTACATATAAAGTGATAATAAATTGGTTATTATAATAAAGTTTTAAATTCATTTAATAGTGTATTATTTTTATGCGATAATAGTTTTAAACTCATTGCTAGTTTATAGCAGTTACCAGAGCTGCGAGTCCTACGAGTACTCCGAGCACCGCATCCAACATCTCTTAACTTAAATTTAATACACAATATTTACATATATTTAATATTTATTGCTTTAAAAATATATTTTATATTAGTATTAAATATAACAAACAATATATTTAATAAATGTCAATTAAATGATAAAATAATAACCAAGATGCTTTTACATTAGAATCAAAGTAACTGTTTTCATTACAAAACTATAGATGTCTTCAGTATTGCTCTCAAAGTTATCGAAATACTTCTAATCTTAAAATAATTATTGAATTTACATTTGAATTTTACAAATTTCATGTGATCTAGTTCTTATTGCATAGTTATTGATTACATAATTTTACTAATAATATTATTAGTTAGTAATTATAAGTAAATATATAAATAGTTGTAGTATTTTTAGATGATACAAGTTGCCATTCCTTTTCCATCATTATTAGTGAATTTCTATAAATAGATAAATAATAATTAAATTACAAATCAATTAATTTATGCCACATTTCAATTTAAGTATAATTGTAATATATTAATATGAATAATTTAGCCACAATATATAACTACGTGATATTAATTAATATTTAAACTAGGTGTCATTATGTTTTAACATCAAGTTTTTCTTATTTTAATCATAATATTTTGTTATTTATTAATACATTAATTAGTAAAAGTAAAGTTGCATTAATTGATAACTAATTATTAATTACAAACTTTTCATTCGTTTGTAATTTTGGTAAATAATTAATTATCGGAATATTTATATTCTTAACATAATATCTCATTACACCAAAAACCTTGGTAACAATAATAGGAAAGTAATTATTTTTTAATAGTTATTTATTCAATATAAAGTCATAATTACATTTGTTTTGCACATAATTTACTGAATACTTATTAAATACTTGGATTGAATAATAACGCATATAATCCTAATTTATTTATAAAATGTAAAATAAATAACCATTAAATTGTATGTAATGAACGTATTGTGCATAGAAAGTACACTATTAAGTGCACTATAAAGAGGGTCTTAAAGGAAATGGTTTGTAGGCCATGAAGAGAGAGAGAGAGAGAGAGAGAGAGAGAGAAGAAAGTATATGTGTGGCTATCATATGACATGGGATTAAAAATACAGCAAAACTTTAGTGTTAAAAAAGTATTGCCTTCAACACAACACCCCCTCCCGAGGCCTACGAAAGCCTTAAATCAATTTCTCGGTTGTGTTTTAAATGTAAATTCAATTTTTTGTTTCCTTTGAAAACCCATTTTCCGACCAAAAAATACTGTTTCCTTAGAAGAGAAATAGTATTGAATTTTGGTTTTCCGATGAAAACAATTTTAAAACTATATTTTCTTTCAGAGAATGTGTTAATTATAGTTATTTTGGCATTGATTTCATGTATAAACACATAAATCACTTTAACCATAGTGAATTCAGCGATCATGATGCTAAAGCATTTCAATTAGTTTTGATTTAAAATTAATATTATTTCAATCACTAAATTAAACTAGATTGTTATCTTAATTTTTCATTTTATATTTTACGACGGTGTAGAATATAACCTAGAATTACTTTATATACCATTTTATACTGGGTTATAGTATTTTAAATAGAGATGTTTTATATTTAATATCTCACGAAAATAACTCTATATTATTAGCAGAAAAGACATCAGAAATAAAATAAATTATTTGATGGCAGAGAGAGAGAGAGAGAGAGAGAGAGACTATATTNATCTCCTCATTCCAATGAGTTGTGTAATTTCGAAACACTATAAGTTTAATTATTTAAGGTGAAATAGAAAAGTTTATATTTATTTTAAATTACTTTAATATACATTTTAAAATGTTTAATGTTTAAAGTATGAAAACATACCAAATATTTAATGCGTGTAGGCTAGATAAGTTATACTTACTAAGTACATTGCCAATAAGTGGCAATGGTATGGGACCAGGCGGGTAGTTATATCGTTTAGCGTAGAATCGCGCGATGTAATAAACCACCAGGCCAATTATGGCGCTTACACCAATGGTCTTTATAAATGTTCCAATACTATTAAAATTAAATAATAATTATTATATCAAAACAAATTAAGTTAATATTTATTACGTGAGTAAATAAGTGAATATAAGAGGGAGAAAGAGAAAGAGAAAGAGAAAGAGAGAGAGAGAGAGAGAGAGAGAGAGAGAGAGACTGGAAATATAAAGAGGGAATTGAATATAATATAATATAGATTTCTATAGCATATGAGGCCATAATATATAGATATAGATGAGAGAAACACATGAAAACCTGAATAACAATATCCATAAAAGTATTAACACATAAGTGTGGAGTGAATTTATAAGATGGAGAAAATGGGCATAAAAGGCAATAATCATAGATAATAATGCTTAGATACACAATGTGTTTGTTTGAGACTCACTTTTCACATAGTAAGATTCAGACCAAATGTGAGCAAAATGGGTGGAAAAGGATGAAAATGCATATAGATTAAAAACTATTTAAAATATTATAAAATGTGATGTTTAGAAAAATAAATATCATATTTAATTAAATTTATTTTCATTAATAATAATAAATAAAAACATAATTATTTAACACAATAACTAATGGCAATATTACAATCACTGCATTAAGTGTTGAGATTTAAAATGATGTCTGTATTGAAATCCCATTATTGTTATTTCAAATTATATTTTAATGACAATTCCCATTGAATAACACACAAAAACTGGCCATTTTCACCATGATCGTATCGGCAGTGCGTAGGAGTATTACGATAAAAATACTATTGAATTGTATTTTACTCTAGCCTTAAAAAATACGTTAAGCCTAAAATATCCATTGATTACAATCTATGCTCTTTTTATATAACACAATAATGTAGAGTAAAATGTTGTTTACTATAGCGAGTGATGTTCACAATAGAGTTGTAGTGCCAAAGTAAAGTAAAACTTTATATATAAAATGTTTCACGTATTGTGTGTTTGGGTTTGTATTGTGTTATTATTTTTGGTGCTTATCTTCGGTGCGAATAATCATTTAAATCTTAAATACATTGAGAAATACTGTCTCAAAGCGGGTGTGAGAGGGAGTGAGCGAGTCTGGAGAGAGAGAGAGAGAGAGAGAGAGAGAGAGAGAGAGACTATATTTTAACGCTGTGTAAAATTGTTTACAATATTTTGCCAGATTTTATGCGTTCGCAAAAAATAATGGTCAGAGAAATAATATTATTGAAAAGGATATACAGTATATATACAGGGCTTTCAATTGAGAGGCACAATACAAATGGGATTTAATGGACAGAATTAGTGTATATTTTGTGCGCACAGAATACACAACATATATCGGTGTATACATAGAGTCGATGGAAAATATATAACACTATTTTGCGATTATTTTATCCCTGAATTTATTTTATTTAATATTTTTCTTATGT